GATATACTTAATAAAAAAAACGGACTAATGGATCCCCTACGTAAAATCCACGAAGAAATATCAGAAATTCTGAAAGCTGTGTGATTCTGATATTGATAATCATCGAGAAATTAAACGAAAAAATTATTTTTAAACCGAAAAAAATGAAAACATAATATGTAAACGTAACCTGGTATATGTGATACGTGTTTTTCAAGGGGGAGAGTAAGCATCAGACCGAGCACGAAAGTAGTATTGAGAGTAATGGCTGAATCTCAAAATTATAAATTGAATAAACTCATGGAACTTTGATACGTTATTTGACTTTGCCTTTCGTGAGATGTACTGTTTATTCTAAAAAACAACCCGTATCATCGGTATTTTGTACCATGAAAGTAATTGACGAAGTTTCAAGTCCCGACTAATTACGCATAGATTTACCTATTGGTCAACTAAATTCATTCTGAAACTTTATACATTTAAAAAAAAATTTTTTTATTTAATTTTTTTTTTTTTGTAAAACGTATCCGTTAAATCGAAACAATCAATTATGTTTCGCAAGTCTGTCTTATAGCTTTAGAATTGCAATCAAGTTTTTATTGGTCACGTGATAGAAACAGCTGTTGGTAAGGTAGTTGGAGACAAGAAAAATAATGTATGTAACATATATGCATATAGGTATTAGATAAATCACAAGAGATCGCTCGGAGCACTTGAATCGAACAAGTCTACCAGAAATGAGTAGACTACTAACTACTACTCATCTCTGGGTCTACACATTGCGCGTCAAACTGGGGCACAGGGGCAGTCAATAGGAACAAAGATTTAGAGTTGAGTACTCTTATAGATCTATTCATCTCTGAAAGAATTTGAGCGGCTAATACATTAGGGTAGATTTTAATTTGAGGCATATCAAACGGTAGTCCATCATGGCTGTAATCATGACCAATTTTTTTTCTTGACGCAGGTAAATGAATGAGGGCGCGGTCAAATGGAAAGCACGGAATCTGTCTTCCGTCAAAGTCGTAGGTATAAGACATTTGAGCCCATGTGACCAATGACCATGTATTTTATTTTTTACGAGAGGGGCGACAATACGTGTGAGGTATATGGTGGCTGAAAAGGAAACTAAAATCCAACTTTCCAGAGCAGACGATCGAATCAGCTGAGCCGAGCTGCCGAGTGCGCTCACGAATTACATAAGGCGTTTGGTGTGTCGGGTCGTCGTCGATTGGGGATCTGCTCCACGGAGGAGGTCTAAGTCGGTATTTGAGTTTCACGAGATAATACACGGCACACAAGACCATACGATCCGTCACACGCTTGCAACATGGGTTTCGGCGACTATCCCGCAGAGTACAACCGAGCTGTCCACGGCCCCTACGATCCGGCTCGTTTCTATGGTCCAAGTAAGAAATCCGACCCTTTTTCATACACACACGTATTTACACTCTTTCCGCAAAGTAACGTTTTCGTTGTTCAATTTACCTAATAACTGTGCATAAGTAGTACGCTACAACAAAGTGTTGAACGGTTTCGTGATTAAAGTTGAAATTGAGAGCAACGTCAAATCATAACCTACAAGTTTTCATTGTCATTTGAGCGTGTGTGTGTGTGTGTGTGTTTGTGTGCGCGCTTTTCGCATTTTTGCAAGTAAAAATTTTGATCAAGTTATCACCTAGGGTAACGTTTTAAGCTCTCAATTTTTTTAAAATTGTCGGTTAAACCCTGTTGATTGATGAATCCATACAATACTTATTACCTACATTACTTGATCGTACAAATATTGATTGGGTTTATTATAATTTTTTAGAGGATACGGCATTCAGTGAGCTGAAACTCAATGAAATTACTGCCTGGCTGGGAAGGCGCAACAAAAGTCCACAAAGCTTTGCCGCTCTTTGCTCAAGAGCGTGGTGGCGTTGGCAACACAAATATGTCCAGCCCAAGCGTTGTGGAATAGCACCATTTTTTCAGCTGACTTTTGCTGGCATGTTTATGTTCTACTGCATTAACTACAAGAGAATCAAACACCACAATAATTACAAGTACCACTAATCTATGTTTGTTTCAAGTAGATCTGCAAGCTTTTACAGCTGTTATAAACACAAACTGTTTATTTCTTGTGTAATTTTTAAGTAAAGATTTATGTGAGAAAAATAAAAATTTCAATCAGTCTATGTACTAGTGCATTCGAATAATTTCCTATATTATGATATTATCTAACTACAAAAGAAAAGATTATTTAAAACAAATTGAAAAATAAAATATGAAACTTGTTCATGCTTCTTAAATCTCCAATTTTTTATAATACATAATTTTCAAAGAAATATATTTCAGATTAAGCTGTAGTATTCCTTTCAATCATCAATAATTAAAAAATTTGTAAAAGTTGTAAACATTTAAAACAAGAATTAAATTATTTTTCGGTGATTCATTTTTTTTCTTTTTTATTATTTTAACGTAAAAGAAAAAATTTTATATTACATAGAATACATATGAAGTAGCCAGCAGGAGTTGTATTCGACATTTTATGGATGAAGAAAACAACGTCAACAACGTATGCAACATATAATATCGGTCGAATTGTAATTATAATTTACATAACTTTGATTAATCATGAATGTTGAATAAATGTACATACAGATGGTGTGTGGATTGCTTGATTTTTGTTATTTTTCAACTCGCACGTCTTGAGTTTGCTCAAATGATACATGGACTAGCTTAATTATTTTAAATTATCAAAGGACCCATCTTAGTCGAGATCATAGTTGTTATAATAGTAACGACCATATTAATAATAACAATAGACATCGTCAATACATTTCAGTACAAAAATTACATGCTTATGCTAAAAGTTGTTTAAGTCAACTGCAGATTTTTCATGCATACAGTAAATTATTTTACTTTCGTGTCATAGCGTTGTTTATTAAATAACATCTGTATCGTTTACCTGGTGTTATTCGGGTAGTTTTTATTTATTTTTTTCATTGGAGTTTGTTTTTTTTTTTTTTTTTTTTAGTTTACCGTAAATTCGATCAACACGCAGTTATCATATGAATAAAAAACACTACCGATCTGAATCGAAATAACGGATGGACAAAGTTTCCCCTCATCTTTTCCCAGTGACGCCCGATACGTGCAAGTATTATACGAAATACTTACGAATAGGTGTACACGAAATGCACAATATAGCGATGAGGGACACGGGAATTTGATTGTATAGACAATGTGCTGCACGCGGCGTAAGTATATATAGATATATACGTGGATTTGGAAAATGCAATAAAAGATCGGAAATACGTGTGTACCCACCTACGTTTAATTCATACCCGTGTAGGTACCTATAGTAGGAAGGAAGTTAAGTAGGCGCGTTAAGGCGCAATCAGGGATAAAACAGGAGAGAAAAATGTTGCCGGACTCGTAAAGTATCGTATGCATAAATCATTTTTTTTTTTTTTTTTTTTTTTTTTTTTTTTTTTTTTTTTTTTTTTTTT